GAACCGGGGCCCTCTGGCATCCCAAGCGAGTTCTTAACCATCGCGCAACTCAGCCGGCCAGGCCAGTTCTTAACCATTGCGCCACTCGGCCGGTCCCCTTTTGTCATTTTTATGTGTACAATTCAGTGGCATTAAGTACACTCACATTGTTGTACAATCGTCACCACTGTATTTCCAGAACTTTTTTATCATCCCAAACACAAACTCTGTACCCATTAAAGAATAACTCCCCATTCCCCTCCTCAACCGTTGGTAACCTCTGTTATGCTTTCTGTCTCTATGAATTTCCTTATTCTAGGTACCTCAAATATGTGGAATCATATAGTATTTCTCCTTTTGTGTCTGGCTTATTTCACTTAGTGTAGTGTTTTCAAGGTTGATCCATGTATTGTAGCTTTTATCAGAATTTCCTTTTTTTAAAGGCTGAATAATAATTACACACACACACATACACCCCCCCCCACATTTTGTTTATTCATCTGTTAATGAACACTTGAGTTATTTCTGCCTTTTGTCTATTGTGAATAATGCTGCATGAGTATTGGTGTACAGATATCTGCTTGAATCCCTGCTTTCCTTTTTTTTTATTTGGGAGGGGGGGTATGTACCTAGGAGTGGTATTACTGGATCATATGGTAATAGTATGTTTAATTTTTTGAAAAACCACCAAACTTTTTCCACAGTGGCTGAATTATTTTACATTCCCTCCAGCAATGTAGGAAGTTCGCAGTTTTTCAACATTTTCACCAACACGAGTTATTTTCTGTTTGATAATATCCATCCTAATGGGTGTGAAGTGGTATCTCATTGTGGTTTTAATTTGCATTTTCCTAATGATATTGAGTATATTTTCATGTGCTTATTGTCCACTTGCATATCTTTGGAGAAATGTCTATTCAAGTACTTTGCCCTTTGAAAAAATTTGGTGGTTTGTTGTTTTTGAGTTATATGAATTTAGGCATGCTTTTTTTAATAAGCAAGGCTAAAATACTATGTCGAAGTAGCCATTTTAGGTTGGATTCTGATTATTGTTTCTGCAACACTTTAATTATGATTTATTACCAAAGAACACTGGAATATTCAAAAGAATTCATGGCATATTAGTTTACTGAAAAGAGCACAGGCTTCGTTGTGAGACTAAGATTAAAATCTGGACTCATTTGGCCAGTGTGATCTTGAGCAAGTTACTTAACTGTCCCTCAAAACAGGTGTTATTTTCATGATTAAAAAGATAATGCATATAAAACACCTACAAGTAAGTATTTAATGAATGGTATCTTTTGCTGCTATTGCTATAATTATTCCTTAGTAAAATATTTAGGCAGAATTTTAATTGAGAGGCAGAGGACTTAACTTGTTTGTGCCTTCTTTTTTTTTTTTTGAAATTTTTTATTGGGGAATGGAGTGTTTTTCCAAGTCATCAGCTCCAAGTCAAGTAGTTGTTTCAATCTAGTTGTGGAGGGCGCAGCTCAACTCCAAATCTAGTCGCCGTTTTCAATCTAGTTGCGCGGGTGGGGTGCGGGGTCACGCAGCCCAACATCTCATGTGGAAGTTGAACCAGCAACCTGGATAAGAGTACGCGCTGTAACCAAGTGAGCCATCCGGCTGCCCACCGGCAGCTCAGTGGCAGCTCAGCTCAAGTCGTTGTCTTCAATCTAGTTGTGGAGGGCGCAGCTCACTGGCCTATGTGGGAATCCGGTAATCTTGTTGTTCAGAGCACGTGCTCTAACCAACTGAGCCACCTGGCCACCCCCTTGGTTGTGGATTCTTAAACACATCTCACCTTAACCTTAAAACTAATCAGCCTGAGCAAGATTTTTTTTTTATAACAGTGTCTTAGTGGAGTATTTGTCTCTTGATCACTAAAAAAAAGAGAGTTGAAAATCCTTAACTTTGCTGTTTTAAATAGCAAAAGAGGCTTTCTACATAGTCATTATGGGATATATCAATTTTAGCTCTCCCTGGCCTGTAATACAGAAAGTTTAGATATTACATATCTGTTTTATAAGTTGGTCAAAGGAAAGGAAATTAACTGCCCCAGATTGTAAAATAATCTTTTGAACCCTGTACCTTTTTTCTCTTCAGAAATGGTTAATCCCTAATATTAGGTTAGTCTTGTATTCATTGTATGTATATTTTGGCTTAAAACACTAGACCAGGGGTCTGCAAACTTGAGATGGAAGAGCTGCCAGGGGTCCGCAAACTGCGGCTCATGAGCCACAGTTTGCCGACCCCTGTATTAGACATAAATATTTTAAGAAAACCATGGGAACTTTGCCGAACTAAATTATAAATTAGCTTCTCCCATGGCATTCTCTAAAGAGTAAAGTACACTGACTAGATTATTACTAATGGAGTTTATGAGTTATATTTAAATTTCTAATTTACTTTAGAGTTTATATATCTGGAACTTTTTCATTTCCTTTGCCAAGAATCTGTTGTTCGAGTCTTAGTTACTTATGCCAGTGGTTTCGGGAAACTACTCAAGCCATATAATGTGTACTGTAGCATTTCTCCAACTCTCTTTTAGCATATTTTTAGGTATTTTTAAATTCAGTATCTAGGTATGTTACTAGTAATAATCTTTAATGAAGGTTACTACAAGTTCATGTTAGTTGGGATTTTTTTGCATTCTTGGTAATAATAAGTTGGATATAAGATTCGGTTTTTATGACAAGGCTGTTTAATGGTTTAATAGAAAATTTTAAATAATGTTACTTTGGTACAATTAATTTTTACTAATTAAGGGTTCTGTATCTTGCTTATGATTGGAAGAATTGATAATGAGATATGTATTTTATTTATTAGGTTGTCTATCAGGAACCTACTAAACCACGCATTTTTTGCTGAGGATACAGGACTGAGGGTGGAGTTAGCAGAGGAAGGTGATTCCTCAAATTCATCCCTGGCTTTAAGACTCTGGGTTGAAGACCCTAAAAAATTGAAAGGCAAGCACAAAGACAATGAAGCTATTGAATTCAGTTTCAATTTAGAAAAAGATACACCTGAGGAAGTAGCTTATGAAATGGTAAGTGAATCCTGCTATTTCCCCTTATAGTATCAGGGTTTATTCCTTTCTCCTTCTTATTTTTTGCTTCTCATTTTCTCCTTTTATTTATTTAAACTGATATTTTGCTATGAAATGTATCTCTATAGCAGGGTATATGAAATTTGTATGTACAGTATAAAGACTGATAAAACACTGCCTTTGTTAAGAAATAGATCGCTAATGCTCCTTTAGAAGCCACCTGTGTGCCCCTCCCAGTTGCATTCCCCTCCCTCATCATCACAGGCAATATCTATTCTGACTTGAGTTACTCATTCCTTTGCTTTTCATTATTGTTTACCTAAGTAATATATTGTTTTGTTTTGAAAACCTGAGTCGCAAGCACACATCTTGCTGCTTACTGAAGTTACTCTTAGGTGAAGATGCCCAGGAGGGGATGAGCTGAACAGAGTCTCTCAGTCGCAGCCTGGCTTCAGCTTCCCTAAGAGTTCACTAGAGCTGCTTCTGGGCAAATCAGTAGGTGAGGCCATGCAGGAGTCCAGGGAAATAAACACACAGCTCGCCATAGTCACGGCACCTGTGGGGCTGTTGTGTGGACCAGAAATGAGTTGTCTGGTAACAGTATGGTTTGACGGGGAGTGGGTCCCTCTGACTTCTCTACTTTTAACCTCCCCATGCATCCCCAAGAGTAGATGACAGTAGATAACTTCTGTGGGGAGGAACGCATGTCCACACCAGATCCAGGCTGCTGCAGTGCTTGGATGGAGGGTGTGCAGGAGCTTTGGCAGTACAAGCTCAAGGTCAGCCAAGTACAGGTCCTCTGAGGCAGGCTCACCTGGGCGTTCTGTCCTCAAGTTAAAGAGAAGGATGGGACAGTGACAATGGGGATCTTGGAGATGAAAGCCTTTGACATGTCTGTCTTTCTAGTCACACTGTTCTAATCTGCAATGATTGCCTTAGCCATCTGGTGCACAACTATCATCCTGGTATTTCCCTTTACTGTCTTCATAGACTCCTGTGCCTCTCTCCTCTATTGAACTTCACATTTCCTAAATCCCATGTCTTCCTCTTTCTCGGATTACCCTTTTCTTTTAGTGGCATCCTTCCTCTTCTAGTTTCTTAACAAAGGGTACATGGGAGGTAAATTCTTTGAGACTTGCATGTATGAAAATGTCTTTCTTCTATCTTCATATTTAATTGATTATTTGGCTGTCTGAAGCATTTTAGGTTGGTGATTTCAAAAAGCTAGAGTCCTTGCTCCATGCTTTTCTACGTTTCAGTATTGATATTGAGAAGTGGAAAGTTCTGTGTTCTGGATCTTTTGCATGTGATCCATTGTTTTTTTCTCTCTAAAAGCTTGTAATGCCTTCCCTTTCTTCTCAGTATTCTCAAGTTTCACAGTGATGTGTCTTGATTTGAGTCTGTTTTCATTTACTGTTTTGGATACTCAGTGGACCCTTCCACTCTGTCAATTCATACCCTTTAGTTGCTGGGAAATTTCTTGAAGTATTTTATTGATGATTTCTTCCCCTCTGTTTTCCCTTTCTGGAACTCCTATTATTTGGATGTTGGACTGTTCCTCCAATGTTTTTATCTTTTCTATTTTCCATCTGATTGTCTTTTAATTTTCCTTTTTGTCAGTATTATCAGCTTTATCTTCTAACCCTTTCATTGAGTTTTTTCATTGCTGCTGTCATGTTTTTAATTTCAAGAGTTCCTTTTTAATTTTTGGTCTATTCCTTTTTTAGATTAAACATCTTATTCTTTGTTTTGTGGATGCAATATTATTGTATCTCTGTGTAACGTTAGCAAAGAGAGTGTTTTTGACAATTTTTTCTTCCAGCATAGTCTCTTTTCTCCAAGTTATTGTTTATTCTTTGTTGGTTTTATGCTCCATCTTCTTGTTAGAGGCTTTTCTCCTATTTCTGCTAATTCTTGGCTGGCTGTTTGCAATTAATAGCGGGAGACTGTATTAGTTTTCTATTGCTGCTTGGAAAATTCTTACAAACTTAGTGTCTTAAAACAGTACCCATTATTATCTCAGTTCTGTGGGTCAGAAATCCTGGTGGACTTTGCTGTATTCTCTGGTTAAGGTCTCACAGGCTAAAATCAAGGTGCTGGCAGCCTGTGCTCTTACCTGGAGGCTCAGGGGAGAATCTGCTTCCGGGCTCATCCAGATTGTTGGCAAAATATAATCCCATGCAGTTGTAAGACTAAGGCCCCCATTTCCTTGCTGGCTGTTTGCCGGGGGTCACATTCAGTTTTCAGAGGCTGCCCTTCAGTCCTTTCACATGCCCCCATTCCATGTTTAAAGTCAGCAATGGCATGTTGAATCCTCCTGGTATCACCAGCTGGTAAAAGGATCACCCAGATAATCTTTCTACCTTAATGTCAACTGTGCATAGCACAGTGATATCTCATCATATTCACAGGTTTGAGGATGAGGATGGGACATCTTTCAGAGGGCAATAATTTTGCCCACCACAGGGACTAACAAGATAAGTGGACAGTTTGATTGCTTCTGTTGGACTTGTTAACTTTGACCTCTACTGTAGGGTATCCTGGTGGGCCATTAATTGGGGAATCCCTGACATCAATATTTGTAGGTCTTTCTTCTTGGATTGGATTCCTTAGAGAAGCATCTTTCAATGTCCTTCCTGGAGGGTAAGGGTCTGATTACTGGCATTCTGGTAGCCAAGTGGGAAAGAGGGCTGGAGGTTTGTGCCTATGGTTTTCAGCATGCATATGGTCATTTAACCTTGTTTTCCACATGGTGGCCATACCCTTAACTGTGCCTAGTGTTCCATAGTCCAGAGATCCTCTCTTTTACCCTCTCCAGAGAACTAAACTTCAGACTTCTTGGGTAGAGAAGAAGCAATCCTCCAAAGGTATAGATTGGAGGGTAGGCTACAGGGACCTAAATATCTAACTGCTTTTCAAAACCCTTCATTTAGTCTTCCTTGTTTTAGTCATCTCTTGACTTTACCCAGTTCTAGAAGTATCTGGTACTGCCAGTTCCTGTACTTTATGAATATTCTTCTGCACAAATGGGACTGATTCTCAGCTTTGTGTAGTATACCTTTTTCAGATCAGTTATTACTTATCTGTTTGTTTTCCATATTTGAAAGAGTCCAAAATGTTGTTGCTGTTCTCTTTCTCTTATTGACCCTGTCCTTCTGGGTTTATAGCTTAAGAATCCATTTACTAAGTTTTTTTTTTTTTGAGCTTTGGAAGAGAGTGAGATTAACTATGTGGACTCCATGTAACATTTTTTTTTAATTGGGGAATTGTGGGGATGGGAACAGCGCTGTGGAATTGGGGGAAGGGGAACAGACAAGTTGCTGTCGTTTTGTTCTTCAGTCTAGTTGTGGAGGACGACGCTTCACTGGCCCAAGTTGGCACCATCATTGCGCTCTTCCTGGGTGAGGCAGATCAGTCGCAGGCTTCTGGATGGCCGCTCATTGTGGCTGCTGGCCGCTCACGCTGGCTGCTCGCTACATACGGTAGCCCATGGCAACCCACTGCCACAGGGGCTGCAGCCTACGCAGTCGCAGGTGACTCATGGCAGCCCCGCTCCAGGTTGAGCCATTGTTCAGCATCTTAGTTGTGGAGGGCAGTTTTACAGGCCCTCATATGTGGGATCCGAACCGGGGCCCTCTGGCATCCCAAGCCAGTTCTTAACCATCGTGCCACTCAGCCGGCGCTCCATGTAACATTTTAATCATTTTTCAACTACCATGAAATTTATCCAAGTCTGCAGATCCCCAAAACATGCTTTAAAAAGCAGATTGTAGGACTGAGAATGATATGCCATGGCATCTGTTCAAGTCTTCTTCTCTGCTACTCACCCCTGTTCCTCTCAGACAAGCCTTTAACTTCTCTTCTGTCACTTTTCCAACACCAAGCAAGCTGTAGTATTCTGCTATGAGCATACTTTCCTCTGCCTAGAGTGTTAATCTCTAACCTTCATCTACACCTTCCTCTATAGCCTGGAAGTTCCTTTTTTTTCTGTTCTAACCCAGGTTAGAGTTTACCTTTCTCTGTGATACTTTCTTCACTTCCTCCAGAGAGGCATGTGCTCCTTTAAGGCTTTTGCAGCAGCTCATTTCTAACTCTTAATTTCATTTTAAGTTAAATTTGTATCCACCCCTCAAATTTGTGTGCTCATATAGGACAAAGGATCAATTTTGTCATTTGCCTTCCTGGAGTCCGTTACTGGGGACATTGTAGGCACCTAAAGTTACTGAATGAGGAAACCTTTTTAATCTTTCACAAAACTTAATGGCAGTCATAAATGACCTGTAATAAGACTGCATGTAATGAAACATCAAGTTGTTTGTTTAAAGCCAGAATTATTTCAACAATGCCTGGTAATAGGATTGTTTTTCTTATGCTGATTAAATGCTCTGACATTTATGTATGTCTGATTAAGAAAGAACAGAGAAACTAACTTATTTAATAGCATTTGGAATTTTGGGACACAAACTAGCTCTACTAATTTAAAAAAAGGCTAAATTCTTACATTTTAAAGATGTAGTTTGCTTATTATGTTTTTGTTTGTAGGTCAAGTCAGGATTCTTCCATGAAAGTGATTCCAAAGCTGTTGCTAAGTCCATTAGAGACCGGGTGACCCTGATAAAAAAGACTAGAGAGAAGAAGCCAACTGGCTGTTTAGAAGAACGTAGGGATTCACAGTGCAAGTTTGTGGGGAATGTTCTTCCTCAGCCCCAGAATAAATGTTTGTTCCCTGCTCCTGCTCAGCACACTGGGGCTGAATGTGAAGAAACTGAACTCGAGCAACATATTCAACAACAACTTCTACTTAGAAAATCACAGCAGCACTGCTTCTCTGTTACAGGTAACACAGTTATAATTCATAAAAGCAAACAAATATGTAATTGTATTCCTTTATCAATTTAAGTAGTTGTTTTGTATTTTTCAGAGCATTCTGTTATCTATCATTTCATCAGCCCTTTTACAAGATCCCTGAACTAGACAAGGCAGTTTGTTTTTCTGTTCCGTTAAGTGACTTGTCCAAGGTACTAGTTGCATAAGGGTTATAACCTGTTTTGTTGTTGTTGGTACCATTTTTTTTTTAGCCGAGCCATCTTGCCACCTGTTGGCAGCTCAGCGGCAACTCAGCTCAGCCTCATGTGGGAATTGAACCGGTGACTCTGTTGCTGAGAACTCACACTCTTGAGCAAGCTCTTAACCAACTGAGCCGCTCGGCTGACCCTGTTGTTACCATTTTTAATGATCTAATCTAAGTCCTTTAACAAAGAAAATTTGGAATTAAAGACATAATTTATTCTTCAAGAAGGAATTTACTAGACTTTAAGACTCTTTTTATTTTAGACTCAAGTATAAAATTAACACAGTTCCTCTTATTTTTCTACTCTAATGCATTCTGTTCTCTAGAAGGACATAATATTTTCATAGTAATAACTAGTTCTATAAAGACAATATTCTAGCCAGGTTCTAGGAGAATGAGGATGAGAATATAACACTTAGATTTTTACCTAACATCAAGTATTGATTAGTTAGGGATATACTTGAAATGGCCAGCAAACGGAGTTAATTTTTTTTTAAAGATTTTTATTGGGGAATTGGGGGGATGGGAACAGTGCTGTAGAATTGGGGGAAGGGGAACAGACAAGTTGATGTCGTTTTGTTCTTCAGTCTAGTTGTGGAGGACGTTGCTTCACTGGCCCAAGTTGGCAGCATCATTGCGCTCTTCCCGGGCGAGGCAGATCAGTCGCCAGCTTCTGGACGGCCACTCACTGCGGCTGCTGGCCGCTCACGCTGGCTGCTGGCTACATACACTAGCCCATGGCAACCCACTGCCACAGGGGCTGCAGCCTACGCCATCGCTGGCGACTCATGACAGCCCAGCTCCAGGTTGAGCTGTTGTTCAGCATCTTAGCTGTAGAGGGCAGTGTCACTGGCCCTCATATGTGGGATCCGAACTGGGGCCCTCTGGCATCCCAAGCCAGTTCTTAACCATCACGCTATTCGGCCGGTCCTGGAGTTAATTTTTATGCAGTTCTTTGTTTTTAGGTTTGCTTTACTAAGAAAATTTTAATTATACTGTAGTGTCAGCATAGAAAGTTTATATGATGGTTTTTGATTAATTCTGCAATTCACATTTTATTTGAAGAAGTCTCAGGTTGTCAGCGTAAAAAGAAAATTAAACACCATTTCCTATGCCATTTGGACCTTATGCTTTGAGTTTTTACCTCTACCTGTTGCTTATTTTTTGTTGTTGTAGGTGACAATTTGTCTGAGGCAGGAGCTGGATCAGTTAAACAGTCAGATATAAGTCAGCCCCGTATAGCCTATTCCTCAGACCAGACGATGGGCTCTCAAATGGTTTCTAACATCTCAGAAACCAAAATAAATGATCCACGGAAAATTTATCCATCCCAGCAGCTAGTAGGATATTACCAGCAGATTTCAGGGGTGAGTGAACTGTTATATTTTTAAGTATATAATCAGTATATTTACTGTAAATGGGAGAATTTATCTTTAATCTTTTTTTTTCTTATTTAACAGTTGCAGAAGCAGCCAAAGCTGACTCAGCCCCAAATTTTGCCTTTGGTTCAAGGTCAGTCCACTGTTTTGCCTGCACAGGTCCTTGGACCTCCAGTTGTCTCACACCCCCAAGTTTCCCCATTAACTGTCCAGAAGTTCTCACAGATAAAGGTAAGATAAATTAATTTAGAGGCTCTACGTTCAGTTAGACATATTTAACACTTCCTAGATTTTCTGACAAGCAAGGGCTCTCTTTCATAAATTTATCATAATTTATATAAAAGTCACTGAAAGCTTAAAGTTGTTTTTGTTTTCCTTCACCTAAGATATTCTTCTTGAGGATGCGCCTAACTTAACATTGTGTAACTGGAATCTTGAGACACTGCTTGTATAGTTGGAAAAGAAACTGAGAAGTCTTTATAAGGATAAAAACATTCATTTAGGGCTTGGATCTCTTAATCTTGGTGTTGATGATTTCTTCTTTGAATTGGACTTTTCCAGCCTGGTTTGAATGTGGAAGGATGTCTTTTATAGTTAATTAGAAATAGTGTTTCATGGCTTCTTATAATTTTTAGCACTTCCATCTAAATTCTTAACTTTTTTTGATTCGTTGTTATTCCTGTAGGAGAAATAAGTGTTTTTGTCTTTTAGACTCTCAAAGTCATCGTTATTCTATTCTGACAATGAGTAGACAGTTTTTGTCAGAGTTTATATATCAAGACTATATCTGGTTCTCTAGGTTATGGACTCTGGACACTTGATTGGGCTTTTCTTTGCCATCACTCCATTTTCTTTCCTCAGCCCCGCCATCTCCTCTGTGTGCCTTCTCACTTTGTGAATGAGATAGTCTGAGCTCCCAGGCATTCTCTGTATGTGATTCAGCTAGCAGCTGGTGCATCTGTTTCTTGTAAGAGATTGGTATATAGTCTGTCACAGTTCATCAACAAACTTTTAATGACTACCATCTCTGGGGATATAAAATAAAATATTGGTCCTTGTGGTCCTTGCCCACAAGGAATGCACCGTTTTGTGGGGGAAAGCATACATATACTTAACAAATGCCTGATGCGTTTAAAATGTGCTGGGGATTGATTTAATCTGATATATTTGACAGTGCCTGGTGTTTGGCTAGTGTTTGTAGGTGATATGGTATATACTTGTAACTGAGCCTCATGTTGTGGTTTGATTTATCTCGAAGACTATAATGCAAAGTGTGTTGAGTGGATGCTTAAATTAACTTAGGTTCAACCACATAAGTATACAAGTATGTGTATTTTAAAATGTGTTCCCAAAATTAAAAAAAGTTTTAAAAATTATTATAAAAGTGTTCTTTACCCATTTAAAAATAAAGCCCATAAAGTTATAAAGGAGACAATGATAATTACCTGTTATCCCTCCAGCTAGAGACAACATATTATTTACATTTTGAGGGTAGAGCCTGTAGATTTGTCTTTTTCTGTGTATACATATGTAATTTTGTTCATCACAAACATCACATACATACTATTTTGTAGCCTGCCCTTTTCACCTAATACAAAGGATGCCAAAAAATGCATACATGTTTTAAGAAAGGAAACTATTAAAATTACACTGATGATAACCACTTTGAGCACCTCTTGTAATTGCAGAAGTCAAAGTGACTTGTATTCATCTTTTGTTATCGGTATATATTGAATATTACAATTTTAATAGTTGTTTCCTTTCTTAAAATGTGTATACACTTTTTGGCACCCTCTGTAGTTTGAATTTTCCATGCACCAGCAGCAGGAACTGCAGCTGACCTTTGCAACAGATGGACAAACTTCAGCCCATCCTATGACTTTAGGCTTCTCAGTTACTGGATTCCCACAACCAGTCTTCTGTGCAGTTTCTCCTCAGACATTGCCTGCTTCACAAATGACTTTGCAGCATCCAAGAGTTGGTTTTTAACTTGAGCCTGGCCTTAGAAATAGGAATCAGGCATTAACGAAATCACCAGATGCCAATCAGACTTCTAGTTTCTTACCGGTTAATCATCCTCAAGCTTTGTCGAATCATTCTTCTGCTTAGTATGTGAGTAGTGCATAGAATACTACTGATACAGCACAGCTCCCTTCTAATTCCATTGCGGGCCATTCAGGGATCCAGCAGCCTTCACAAAAGATACACGCAGTATCCCAGCCATACCCAGTGGTACATCAGCAGTCTATAACTCCAGGTTTTTCAGTGCCTCAAAGCCAGACTGTACGTTGGAAGAAGCCTTGTTTCCAGGCCTGTATTCAGCAGCAGCCATTAATTTTACAACCTAAGATTATGGCATCACCGCAGAAAAATGTTCAGTGGGGACTGTATTCTCTGAGGATCTGAAGCTCGTGCAAGTTGGCAGTAGCTAAAGGGTGATTTTTTTTAAGGGTGATATTGAAAGTGTGTGATTTAGCCCCTGGAACAGCCATCTTGCTCTGTTCAGCATACTTATCCAAGACCACCTGCAGAATCGCAACCTTCCCATTTGAAGGCTGCTGCGCAGCTGCCCTTTGTGATACATCCGTGGGAACAAGATTCTTTCTTTTAAATGTTTTTATTAGTTTCAGGTGTACAAAACAATGCACTAGTTACACTTTTCACTCCTCACAAAGTGACAACCTCCCTCCCCCAATCCACTGCCCCCCACCCTCGATATCATACGTATCTATTACGATTTCATTGACTCCACTCCCCACTCTACTCATCCTGTGATTATATATATATGAAATTATTAAATTACAGTTGACATAATATTATACAACATCAGCTTCAGGTGTACAGTGCAGTGATCAAGCCTCTACAGCATCCATGATGCGGTCTCCCTAAGAAGACATGTACCCATCTGACATCCTAAAAATTATTTACAACGTTATTCATTATACTCCCCAAACTGTCTTTCATATCCCTGTGGCAATATTGTGGTTACTAGTTTATGTTGTTGAATCTCTTCCTCTTCTCCCGCATCCCCACCCCCTCCTATCTAGTAACCATCAGTGTTTCCTCTATATCTCTGAGACTATTTCTGTTTACTGTGTTCATTTATTCAGTTGTTTAGATGTGGGAACGAGCTTCTTAACCATCACAGCCAACTTGCCCAACCCAGACTCCAGCACAGCCTGCTTATTCCCTGCCAACCCAGGAGCACCTCTTTACACTGTACATCCACTGGGATCACAGCCAGCTTATTCTATGCAGACATCTTATCCAGTTCCACCCATGGTATAGTCCCCTTATGCAGCCTCAGCCCAAAGGCAGCCTATTTATTAAGTACAATGTCTCGTTCATTCACCTTTTCCTGACCAGCCAGCACATACAATCCAAGCAGCTTATCCTGTGAAACCATGCCCTTTATTCAGGACAAACTGCTTACACCATCCAGACAACTGAACAGGAAACCTTCATAACCCAGCAAGTATACACAGTAAACCCTCCTAATAGCAAGGAAGTACATATTACAAACTCTGCAGATCAGAAGTTACACTCAATACCACCTCATGTAGCACAGACATCTGAAATACAAGCCTATTTAACAGAACCCCAAGGTAGTAATTCTTCAACACTGGAACACAAGGTATAGCTAACATCAACCTTAGTTACACTGACACATTGTACTAGCCTTTATTTAATGTCCAGCCTTCAGAAACTCCAGCCCAATTAGATGTCAGTTTTGGACACCAGCAGCTATTAGCCCAACTAGCATTACATCGTGGAGACCCGTGGAAGGACAACTTCAACACCCTGGACAGATGTCCTTTATTCAGCAGGTCTCCTCACAGGCCCAGATCCAGCCCCCATACTTCTCTGGACAGCTTTCCCAATCACATCTAACAGTGAGCCAGGTTTCTCATGCCGCTTTCATTTTACATCAGCAGATAACTCATCTCGTAGACAAACACAGAAAAGCCATCAGTTATCTACTCAAGAAGCTCACATACATCAATAGTAGTCTTTATAGCCAAAATGCTGCTTTCCAGCAGCAGGTACCTCATTCACAGGCACCTCAATAATTTCAGCCATTACCAGGTATTCCAAAAGCCATTACAAATATGGTCCAGATTATGCCTCCTTTGCAAGAATAGTTACAACCAATAGCAATGAAATGCCAATATGTAATACAACCTTTCGAGTAGCCTCAAGACCTTCAGGTATTAGACAGCAGTCAAACTTTTCCCCTGCAGAAAAACCAAGCACAGCACCAGCCAGCATGTTTTCAGCAGCATTGTGCTGTCCAGCCACAGTGGCAGCCATCGTCTAACTTAACACATGTTTCTGGGTCATAAGAAACACAATTACAACAGCAGACCATCTATCAAAGCTGTAGGACAGCCCTTCCAAATCAGCCATCTTCTTCTGTTCATCTATCAACATTTAGTATTCCAGTACAGGCTTCCACTCTGCCTTTCAGAGCATTTCTGTGTTACAGATACAGCAGCATTTGCAAAGCCGAGAAATTCCAAAGCTCCTGGGGGAAAATTGTGGATGATTGTGATTTTTCTGTAATGTTCAAGTGTCAGGGAGATAGTAGAAATGACACTCAACTGGGAGTCACAGTCCATTTCTGGCTCTCTTTCTTACTGGATGGCCTTGATTCAAGTTTATTTGATGTTTACTTATCTGTCAAGTGCAGGGATTAGATCAGATGATAAAAGTATTTGAGCACCTACTTGGGATATGTCAGTGAATAAAAAAAATGTCTTCTGTCACTGAGTTTTTGTTGCCTAATTGAGGGAAGACTAAATTATATAATATGGTACAAGGAGATCGGGGAAATGTAGAGCAGGGTAAGGACGAAAAGTGGATTGCAATTTTCAATAAGATGGCCATCAGTGTAGGCCTCATTGAGAAGGTGACATTTGAGCAAACACTTGAAGGTGAGGGAACCCACAGTGTACATTCCAGGCAGAGGGAATATTCAGTGCCAAGGCACTTAGGGGGAGGAGTGTATCTGGAATGTTTGAAGAATAACAAGGAGGCCAGTGTAGTTGTTAGTGCTAAAGAGTTAGGAGCCTATCTTATTGTTCTACGTTTATAATAAAGCATTTGCCTTTATGAGAGGATAGTAATGATCACTATTGAGTGATTCCTAGGTGCCAAATGTTGTTCTGTAGCAGCTTGACGTGGACTATCCTTACAACAACCCTATGAATAGTAGCTGTCATTACTTGCAT